GTTCCTGGATGCTCATGACAGCAGTGTGATGACCATGAAAGTGATGGGAACCATGGAAGGCTCTCTGTTTTGTTTTGTTTTGTTTTTTTTGTTTTTTTTGTTTTTTTCTCTTCTTCTTATCACCTACCTTTTTGGAAAATCTGCTGCTTGTATGGATCTGAGGAGCTTTTTTTTTTGTTTCTTTTTTTGTTTTTTTTTTCCGAATCTGAGGACTTCTGGAACCTGCAGTGAGTGTAAAGTCTCTGGTTGTGGAAGAGGGTGAAGATTTCAGCTATGGCGGCAGAGGTCAGAGCTATGGTTGATTTGCCCCTGAATATGTCAGCTATGGCAGCAGAGGTCAGAGCTATTGTCGATTTGCCCCTGAAGATGTCGGCATGGAAGTATTCTCCGCACATCGTTCTACCATTGGAACTATTCTCCTCACATTCTGTCTCCCTGTCTCTCTTTCTCTTTGTCTCTTTGTCTCTCTCGATCTCTTCCCTCCCACTCCTCTCTGCCACTCTTTACCCCTCTCTCCCATTCTTTCTGTGTGTTGTTTTGCTCTATTTCTTTCAATTAGTGGCTAAGATAGGGAAATCCATCCATCAACCCATCAGATTCTTGAATGCTCAAATGGTCAATTAATGCTGATTGGCTTGCTTATATTACTGTAATTAGATCGTCGTGTTGCGCAAAATTGATGACCCGGCAGTTCGACTGCGAGGTTGTTGTTCACGTGCCTTGCCGCCCATCTGCCATGTGCTTGCAGGGGGCGGCAACAGCTATCCTTTCTCTTTTTTCTCTGTTTTTTAAATTCCGGATTTTGGCCGGAGCCTAATGAACACCGGGTTTCAGGTCTGCGGCTTCAATGACTGAGGCTCTCTCTGGCTCTCTATTTTCACTCCCGCTCGGTTATGAATCGTCTTCTCTATGCAGCTGGCAGTTTCCGAAATGCATCTGACTGCAGTTACTGCCAGATATGCACGAATCTGACTGCAATCACGTCCAGAGCTTGGTCAGAAAGTCCTGCTGTGACTATACCCGGGAAAGAGGCAGATGCAACAAACTGACCATTGAAAACCTTCACTTCCTTCGTTCCCCGAGTACAACGCCTGGTCATTGTATCTGTGCTTAGACTTAAAGATATGTTGTATTCGGAGAAAGAAGGCAGCGCGCTGCTGTGACTATACCCAGGTAAGAGGCGGATGCCACAAACTGACCGTAGAAAACCTTCACTTCCTTCTTCCCCCGAATACAACGCCCGGTCATTGTATCTGTATTTACTATTTTACTATTTAGACTTAAAGATACCCTTATTACAGGTAACATGACCATACGTTGTATTCGGGGAAAGAAGGTAGCGTGCTTTGTGTAACCATGACATCAGTTATCGATTTTTGTGACCGTTGTCTTTTTTGTCCTTTTTTATGACCATACATTGTATTCGGGGAAAGAAGGTAGTGTGCTTTGTGCAACTGTGACATCAGTTATCGATTTTTGTGACTGTTGTCTTTTTTGTCCTTTTTTCCTAAAAGGATGACGACCTTGAGATATAGGGCGTCATTAGACACTCCTCGGGGACGCGACTCCAAGGATTTCGTCGTCGTTACACCAGTCCTCGGAGATGGGATTTGAAATGACAATGTGAAAACATTCCGAGGACAAACCCTCGGGCTCCATCGTCTTCTTTTTTCTGCATCTTGTAGTTGCGCACGTCCATATTCTCCAAGCCACTCAATTAATTTCCATTATTACAATGGGAAAAAAATGCACTTGTGGAAACCACTTACTGCACTATGGTAAAGTATTCACCGAGTGTTTGATGTGTGTATAAAGAAATCAAAACATGCATCCCCTTAATTGTGAGAGGTAGATACGCTTGCAGGGGTCCCCTGTATAGGATTAGGAGTAGTGGTGGGTAGAAAGTGAAAGGTTACATTGAGAGAAGAATATAGCGTAGTTTTTTGTGTGTTTTTTTAAAACTATATTGTAATTGTACTACTACTGTACTTGCCCCAACCACCAAAATCTTTAGCTTCCAACAAATGAAGAATTTAGCGTGTGAGAATCAAACAGACTGACGTTATTATAAAAAGGCATGAATATCTTATCTTATGAACAATTAGTAAATCTTGAGGCATGTACCGAATTTAAATCCCTACACTATTAAAATCGCTAAGGGAACCAATCTCTGATCCAGGTCGTCGTCGGTCCTACCGGCCCACGGCGTGGATGGTCGGAAACGTGTAATAAATCTGAAATCCTGGCCGTCTGATCCTGAGATGGCACGCAGTCTTAAGATCTTGAGATTGCGCGTCAATCCAGGCCGTTGGCCTAGTACCTCAGGCCCAACGGCCCAGATCATTTGCCTGTTGGAGGGGGCTGCGGTACCTACTGGTACAGTCTCTTGCGTGGTACCCACCGGTAGGGTTTTGTGTTCTGTTCGCCCTGTTGTTGTCGTACGTGCCTTTGTACGTGCATTTGCTCGTTTCTTCATCGTGCAGCGCGCTGTCG